GTTGTGCATCTTTTTCTTCCACACTTTTTCCTTCCACTCAACTTTCTGTTAACATGCTTGGATACAGCACTCTGTTAACAGCCAGCTTCTTTGGCAATGAATGTTTGTGGCTTACCCTCCTTGTGAAGGGTGCCGATGATTGTCTTCTGGACAACTATCAGATTAGCAGTCTTCCCCATGATTGTATAGCCTAGTGAACCAAACTGAGAGAAGATAAATATGATAACTACATTAACATGATAACATTATGTTTATTATAAGCGCTTGCTGCAGTAATGTAGTCTGCTGCTTTGAATGCTTGAATTGAACTCTTTGAAATCAGGTAGATTCTGATTGGCTTAAACACACACACACACACACACACACACACACACACAGAGTGTTCCTGTGGCTCAGTGGTAGAGCATTGCGTTAGCAGTGCAAAAGGCTGTGGGTTTGATTCCCAGGGAACACACATACTGGTAAAAAATGTATAGCCTGAATGCACTGTAAGTCGCTAGGTTGTGGGTTTGATTCCCAGGGAACACACATACTGGTAAAAAATTTATAGCCTGAATGCACTGTAAGTTGCTTTGGATAAAAGCGTCTGCTACATGCGTAATATATATATCTATATCTATATATCTATATATATATATATATATATTCAACAGCTGGAAAAAAAAATATTTTGAAAGTGATTACAACAATATCGTTACTCTGTGTCGTTAAAGCTAATGTGGACATCCCTATTCTCATAGAATTAGCACAATTATTAAAACTTTATAATTGTAGTTATAGTTATAGTCCTTGGTGTGCACAAGCCTTTTTTGGGGCCCACTGGAAAGTTGCTGAGGCCCCCTACTGGTTGAACCACGGCACTGCAGTGAACCACTGCTGTAGTTATACTTATATAAAAAAATAGTTTTAACAAAATTATTTGTACTAATTATGCAGAGGTACTATATTTATATACAAATTAATTAGTTTTCTCAAGCACAATATCCCTATAGCTTACCTTCAAATGTTCTATTTTCTGCAGGAACGGGTGCTGGAGGATTATCTGAAACATCACATGAAGACCATGGTACCAAATACTAAACAGTTCTTAATGTTCTAGGAAGCTCTAATCAAATATTGTAACTAATAGCACTGAAAATAATACTACAAATATTAACTTTTAAATAAATTTCTACATTTTCTGAAGAAAATGTGAATGGGAAATGAGCACCCCTCAAATCTCTAATATTCTGCTCTCCAGATATGTGGTCTTGTCTGGAATGTAAGCGAATGGGATTTTTACACTTTTTTTTCATTGTGAACCAGATGGAAATCATAAGCCTAATTGCTTCAAAAAATAATAGCATGCCTCTCTTAACAATGCTGCACTATTTGAATGTCATTCATGTCTGTAGAAACAGTGTGTATTGAGTAAGAAATCAACTGAATAAAACACGCCTTCCCAACCTTTGGTGTACTTGCAGATAAAGTTGTTTTTGGTTTCACAATTGTCATCATTCCACTGGAACATGTAAGGTCCAGCCTGACCTGGAGGAGCAGAGGGCTGATGGTACATCACTACACACACCTCAAATCCACAAGAAGGCTCATCCCAGTGCCAGTTCCTGTCACACACACACACACAAAACCATGAGCAAAAGCACCTACAAAGGAAATGTGTCTAATGTGGCTCTCGTCACACCTGAAGGTTGCTCGGCTTCCATCCAGCCAGTAGTATTGAGAAGGACAGTCTCCGTTGATCTCCTCATAGCCTTGATCCCTACGGAGCCCGATCCAGAAGTCTCCGTCTGATGCTTTCAGTTCATGGATGAAGTTCTCTATCAGTGTCTGCTCAGTCTTAGACTCAATACTGAGAAGGTCTCCACCATCACTCCTGCAGGCTCGACTCGCATCTTCAAAGTTGAGTTTACGCCGAGTGTCTTGAAAATAGGCGATTTTATAGCAGGGCTTCTCAGTGCCGCGCTTGCATATTTGCTGGCCTTGAGAGACACATTATAGATGTTAGGAAAGACAATGGAATGTAAAATTATTAAAGTCTTTCAATTAATCTTGTGTACTTTTATTTAGAACGCTTAAACACGGTTTATTTAGAACAAACAAACAATGTGTTCCTTTCCCCTGATCATATGTACTCGGAAAGTACATACAATCCACTAATCTGAACCTCAGCTTACAAGAGAGTTTGTTATAAAACATTTACAATAAAGAAAAACAAAGCACATTTTGAAGCACTGAAAAGTGATTCTGTACTCATTGAGTGACTGTAAGTGCACTGTCAGTACAAAATGTCAGCTATTGTAAATGGAAAATCTAAATTTCTTCAAGCACAAAGCCCTTTATTCACAAGTATACATTTGATTATTTTTCTAAAGCATGGGTTTTTCAGACAATCCGCAAATCCAGGGACACCCAATAGGTTATAAAAAAGCGTTTTCCTTTTTAAAGAATATTAATAACGTTGTGTAGCGAATAACAGACCACTACTTGATGTTCAGTTGACTGAAAACGTGGCCAGGGTGTTTAAAGTAGGCTACCTTTTTCCTGAAAGTGTAAATATTTAAAGATAAAATGAAATGCAATTATGATTATGATTACATTTCGCTCTATGGATGGCATATAAATATATAGACATGGGATGAGAATGAGCTGTCATTTCATTTAGAGAAAGCCATTAGTGTCTGCGGCAGAACATAGCCTACCTCTGGGCTCGTAAATGTCTGCACCACAGGGAGGATGGACAACACATTGGGTTTACAAGTGGTGAAGAGAGAAAACAGACACTCTTAAAGCATGATCTAAACAAGTCACTTCCTATATTCAAGCATCTCATTAAAATTAATTAAACAGGAAACGATTGAGTCGGTTAGCTAAGTGAGTGGGGGAAAACACAGAAAAAAGTTATTGCAAAACCGTTTAAAATTACAACATATTACCATAGAGAACTGTTTCTATATTATAAATATTATTACCAAGAAGGTTGTCAATGGACACGAGACACTACAGTAAAAATGAAAACAATATCTCAAATCTTTTTCAGCTTAGAAAGCGTTTCTTTCTAATATCATATCTGTGGTTTAGTATTTTAAAACAGTCGAGTGCAGTAACTTACCGCCCAGAAGCTTTGATGCGCACACAGAGACGCTGAGTAAAACCAGCACGCGGCCACATTTTCTCATCAAATCCATTTCATCACCTTTTATCAAACTTCCATGGGTCTTAAAAGTAATTTCACGAAGTCAATGAAAAGCCAGGGGGGAAAAAAAGAACATCCAACACCAGGAGAGCTTCGTCCAGTAGAAACCCGATCACCTCTCTCGTTATCCGCTGAAATCTTTGTGAACGTCCAGAATGAGACGCGCGAGCGTGACCGAACGCACAGGCGATCACAGCACGTCATCAAATGACAGTAACACGCCATGGGCTTTTATTTGTAGATATTAACAAATCACGTAAAAGATTACAAGTACACAGTGCTCACTGCTGGTCTTTATTTAATATTTGAAGGCAAACCGACCATTTTTTAGGCATATGATAAACACATATAGCTGCATCATAAGTAAACATCTTATACATTGCTCTGTTTACTATGCTAAAATTACACATTATGTTCTTTAATATCATCAATATGTTTACTGGAGCTTCTGAACTTCTTTCTGGTCCTCATCCACAGATGCTGAAAGGGTTTTTGGAGCCAATCTACACAGAAATGATTTCAGTGTTTTCAAAATCCACTTGGTTCATAATAGAAACATTATTTGAATTTGTTTTATACAAAAGAAAATGCATTTTCTGTTTTGCAGTTTTAGATGTAGCAAACAAGTTCATCTAAGCATTACTGTATTATGTGTCATGCTTCCACATTTAACTTAATGTTGCTAGAAACCAATCTACCGCACAGGCTAATGAAAGTCTTCCTTCATGCCATTAAGTAAAGGTTTTTGCAATGACGCATTTATCAGAAAGGGAATTGTTTTGGATAATAGGACAGGTAATCAATGCAGGTTTGAGCTGTCTGTACAGAGCAGAAAAGATCAGACAGATTTCAGATCAATATCCAAGCCTCAATATAAGCTTAAGTTGGTTTTCCAATAACCCTTCATCACTGGGTCTGGAAATCAATTATAGTAGGCTAGAAATCCATATAATAATGAAAATGTTAGAAACTGTCAGTAATTTTCCTCTCTTTCCAGCTGACAAACCATTTCCCTCTTATTAGTTTACCTGTTTAAATAATACTTGAGGCCCTATGTGCTTGTCCCTTTTATAATTGGATGTGATTTACAGAAGCAGCATCAGCGGAATAGCTCCCCTTTTGCTGTCCACAGCAGTAAATACTATTAAGCACACAATTACTATTACTTTATTGAATGCAGTAATACATTGCACTGTACCATCACCTTTAACTGTGAAACGTTTATTGCGCTGGTATCCATAAGTCACAAAAGATACAGTGAAAGATAATTTTCCAGATGAAATTATATTCAGATAGAGTATATTAATCTCTGACAGAAAAGAGAAATAACATATCTTTTTTCCACTAGGTTGCCTTTTTTTGTTTTGTTTCGGTAGGAAATCATCTCCTTCTGTTGAGAATATACATCAAAACTGTATTAATTCTGCATGACATTAAAAACAAGGGACTCAAAATGACAATTTAAATCAGTTTTTGTTTGTTTTATAGTAAAAATGAAAATGAGATATGCTCACCAAGGCTGATCAAAAGAAATATTTTGATCAGTAAAACAGTAATATTGTTTTACAATAATTTTATTAATAATGTAATACATAACATTAACATTTTAAATAACTGTTTTCTGTTTTATATAGTAATATATTATCTTTAGTGTCAGATGATTCTCAGAAATCATTGGAAATATTGGCTATCATCTTTATTCTTTTCTTCTTTTTATTATTAGAAACCTTTTTAACATTATAAAAGTATTTACTGATAGTTTTGATTGATTTAATGCATCCTTAATCTTAAAAAAAGACCCCATATGTTTGAACAGTGAGGTATGTACACTGTAAAAAATATTTTTCAAACTTGTAAATAAAACAAAGATTATTGTGTATGCCTTGAAGAAAATACTACTTCAGTCTTTTTACTTCAAAATTTCACATATAATTTAATGTTACTTGCCGTTTCTTTTATTTGTGGAATTTACTTGCAATATCTGAGTGAAAATATTTTCTAAGTATTTAAAAAAAGTGTATGTATATATAAGTATTGACACCTAAACTTGAAAACTATTACCAGTATCATAAAAAATGTAGCTCTGTATATTATACAGCTAAAACGTCTCAGGTTACTTATGTAACCATGGTTCCCTGAGTAGGGAACGAGACACTGCGTCCTCTAGGTAAGTACCAACTCTACCATATTGTTATGAGCGTTGCCCCTGGATGTTAGATGGCTGTCAGTGACGTTATTCCCTACGGCCAAAGGCCTAGGCTACATACCCCAAAATACTTACCTGTTAGGGCCAGCTTTTTCCTTGGAAATGCAAGCTTCAAACAGAACAGTCAATGAAGACGAAGAAGAGAATGATGTGTGCTCCTGGCGCCTATTTATACTATAGTCGCACCGGTAGTGACGTCATGGCTGTCGCCGGCCAACGAGTTGGTGTTTTTTCAATGTATGCTTCAGACACGGGTCACGACGAGGCGTTCCCCATAGCGACCCCTAGAGGACGCAGTTCGAAGTTCCCATGAAAGGGAACTGAGATACTTAACATCACTCCCAGCCACCAAAATGAATAAACACAACTAAAACAATTTCAGTGCAGTTTGTATTAGGCTTGTAAGGTACTCAGCAGGGGTTGGAGAAAGCACCACCACCCCACAATCATCAGGCTGCTCCCCAGGGAGACATCAAAGTCTTGAGGAAGCCCACCCCTCCTTTCCTCTCCTCCTCTATAGGCGAGGATGCCCTAAGAAATGCTGAGGCTCAAGGGAAAAAGTGCTGAGGAAGGGAGAGACAGCACTCTAATGAATAGGAGAGAAATAAAACACTGGGCTGTCTGAGAAACCCTGTCCTGCAGCATCCCAATATGCAATGGCTGTGTTTGCAGAAGACCTGAGATGAGGTTTAGGCTAATACATACAAAATGGAGAAACCTGATGTTTTAAGCTAATGGGGCCAATTACTTATTTCCAAGTATATTTCTTACCTTAATTCGCTCATCCCTCTGCTTTTTCAGAAGCGCAATAATCTGCTCTCGTTTCTTGGCCTAACATAAAAAAGAAATATGTAAGTAAATGCACAACCAGGGTACACTGCATAAAAAAACAAGGTACACTGCATAAAGGTTGAATTATAATACTATTATGAAATTAAAACCATTTAAGCAAAAATAATTTTAGAATTACTAAACATCAATGTCATTTTAGTATTATGTATAGTTTTTATTAAAATTCATTATTTAATTAGCTATTATTTTCATACTTTCAGTTTTCATTTAAATTTTAGTAATTTTTTGGGGAATTTTGTCATTATTTTTGTTTTTGTCATTATTATTATTATTATTATTATTATTATATACTATTATTATTTTAATATTACTATTGACCGAGAGAGCTCAATGCACTGCAACTTAAGAAAACACATGCAAAAAGAAAAAGCACCAGCAAATTAAGAAAACATCTTCATCAGTTCGACAGCGCATGTGCTGCAAATACTTGAGTCCCAACACAACCAAATACAGAAACAAGCTGCAAATAGCCACAACACAACCAAACATAAAAACGCGCTGCAAGTATAGCACAGACCACAATGGGGGACCCTAACAATGCTCACAAAAGTTAACCACGATTTTATTATAGTAAAAGTGTAGTTGTAAAAGTAGCCAGCTTACATAATGTTTCAGCTCGTTAACTTCATCTTATTTAAGCTAATAATATAAAAAAAAGCTAAGGAATCATATGATCAGGATGTTAAAATAAACAAAAATCTCACCTTTCAGAGCAGACATTTATAAGCATGTCCCAGGTTCGTCGCTTGGTTCCCTTAAACATTTCCGATGTAGTCTGTGCATATTTGCAGCGCGTTCGTATTTGGTTGTGTTGTGAGTATCTGCACCTCATTTCCGTTTTTGGTTTTGTTGTGAGTATTTGTGGCACATGTGCTGTCAAACTGATGAAGATGTTTTCTTAATTTGTTTTTTTTTTTTTATTTGCATGTGTTTTCTTACGTTGCAGCGCGTTCTCGTTCACCGTTATTTATTTTTATTTCAGGTTAAGTTTTATTTGTATTTTTTTAATTAATGTTAACCAAACAGTTGATGGTATTTATTGACTTCCATAGTATGGGAAAAAAAAGTAAATGGCTACCGTCAACTGTTTGGTCATAGCCATTCTGTCACGGGATGCTGCTGGCTTGGAATGAAGCGCACGACGAAGGATCAGAGTTAACAGGGGTTTTAATAATGAATTCAGGAGTCCAACATGCAGCAACACAAATCCAAATCAATAGTGGACAAAAGACCAGGAGAGAACACAGGACTTATAAACAAGGAACATAATCAGGAAGAACAGAAACAGGTGGCGTAATTAATAAAAAACCATGGAAACTAATAGACACGGGAACTCAGGGAAATGTGGACACAGAAAGCGAACCAAAACAGACCATAACCGTCACACATACAGGTTTGGAATAACTTTTCATTTTTGTGTGTAAACTATCACTTTAATCTTAAAATAAATACAAAATGAGAAATGTTGGTTAAGAAATTAACTTAATTGTTTTCCATATAATATTTTATCTCAGCTTTAGTTCAATTAACAAAAATGGTTTTAATTAATTTGATTAGTTTAAGTGTTAGTTTATTTTAAAGGCATCCTATTATGCTCTTTTACAATGCCTTGAATTTGTTTTGGGGGTGTACTAGAACATGCTCTCATGCTTGGTGGTTCGAAAAACACATTATTTTTTATATAATTTACATTATTACAATACCTTTCTCCTCAGTCTGGCACAAACGGCTTGATTAGTTCCGGGTTTGATGAACGCCCGCCTTCCGAAAAACGAAATGTGATGTGATTGGTTAGCTATCCCAGTGCGTTGTGATTGGCGAACAGCTTAGACGGTGTTTCAGTACTGCCCCGCCCCTTGCCAAAGCAGCAAGTTTAGTTAATGCCTGGTTCAGACTACACGATTTTAGCCCGATTTTGCCACGATTTGCTTGATGTAGGGTGTCATGGGGATTCGTAAATGACAATGGACGTCGGGATGTAAGATTCCATCGTTTCAGCACGTGTAGTGTGTCATAGTGGACGACAACCGATTCCGCGTCTGCGATGCTTCA